GAGGGGGTTGCTATTCACGGCATTAGCCCAGTTTGGGGCACAGAAATACTCCTCTCTGCACTTCAAAATCGAACTGTTAGACAATCAACCAGCTTTTGGTGGGGGGGAGGAAGGACTCCTGTTGCCCAACTAGTGCCTTGTTTGATATGCACAGCAGGCAGAATGGTTCTTCAAACATTTCCAATTCTCCTTATTGCCATTTTCTCTCGCTCACACTTCAAAGTGCAGGTTCCCCCAGGCAAGTCGCTGTTCCATATCAGATGAAGATTTAAAGCCAGAAGGAAATTCAGAAGCAGCCATGCACTTATGGACTGGTAAGACTATCTGCCATAAACTAGGGGTATTTTAGTTGGACATGAAAAGTAGCAAGACCTTGATGCATGTCAGCTCTCAACAACAAGGTCACCAATGGAATCCAGCCATGAAAGAGGACTGCATCTGCAAAGACCTTCCAGGGGAGGGAGAGGGCTTTTAATACCAGTACACAAAGGACTTGTGAGACCTCAAACCGAGAGCTGGAATAAATTCAAATTTGAAGGGTTACTAGAGGGACTGGGGGAAATGAAGAGCCTGCCTTTATGACAGGAAGCTAAATGAGTGACCTGCTTAACCTAGAAGCAAAGCCTGAGTGGGCCTATGATTAAGTCTCAGTAAGTGCTGGGGAGGGTGAAAAGCCACAAAAAGCTAAAAATAATACTGGCACAAGAACACAAGTGGGAATGAACAGGCCATGAATAAGTTTAAATTGGCAATTAGAAGGCTATAACTAAGAAACAGAAGTTCTAGGGCAGTCTTGCAATCATAACAGGAGCAAGCAAATAGCTAATTTTAAAATAGTCTGATACATTTATGAATGGGTTTGTGATACAAGTAGCTGGACTACCATTGAGAAGGTCTTTTCCAGTCCTGTGTTCCCATCTAATCTGATCTGCTGCACAAAACAGGTTGTACAACCTTACCCAGTTAATGTATGCACTAAAAAGCATAACTTCTGTTTGAGCTATGCAACACCTTTTAAAAAGGAGGACGTACTTGAAGCCTCAAAGCTTGTCTAACAGCTCTCAACTGCATAGCTAGTCATATAAAAGATGTCATACAAAATCCTTGCCTCCCGTGTTTTTTAGAAAGATATTCATTCCTGATTCAGCACACACAGTCACTGAGAATAGCACACCTAGATATGACCCTGCTTTTGGTTGGATTACTTAGATTAGTCCATTTTAAATAAATCAAGCTATGTTTATATTATTGCTCCATTATGCACCTCCAATGTTTGTCAAATTGGTAGATGTTAATACAAGCACCAATGACTTTCTCCAGAGATAAAAATGTTGATGAGAATGGTTCAAGAACAGATCTCAGCTGGATCTCACTAGTAACCTCTTGATCCCCTTTTGTAATTGCTTTTAGAGTGACTTAAAACTGATTGTGTGCAGTGCTGACTTAAAAAAAAAAAAAATGTCACGTGGGACTAAAGACAGTGTGCAATAGGCAGGGAGCATCGTAATTTAGGCTCCGGCAGGGGGAAAAGTGGGCTCCCTGCAGGCTCGCTAGAACCAATGTCAGGTGTTTCTCAGGGCGGGCTCTCCCATGCCTCTGACTGGCTAAGGCAACCTGCCGTGCAGACAGAGGAAAGGGAAATTCCTCTCCCTCCCAGATGGCAGCAGGTCTTGGGAGAGTCATGCAGGGTGGGGGGAAGCCCCTGCAGTGGGGAGTACCCTGCACCCTATGCCTGGCTGTGGGGGCAAACACCTGGCATGCCTGTGCCTGAAGCCCCTAGGGCAGGAAGGTACTTACCTGCTCCACTCTGGGCAGGGCTTTTAAAACTCCCCACCAAAGTAGGGAAGCAAACAACCTGATTGGCTGAGCCCCAACAGAGGCTCAACCTATACTAGGTTGCTCCTGGAAACATGTAGGGCTTTCACAGTGTTTCCAGGCCCTACTGCCTCTCTTCTCCATGCTTCAGTTAAGGTTTTGGGGGTTTCTGTGTTTCTGGGGGAAGGGGAGGTTGGGTTTTTTCTCTCTTTTTAACCTTTTCCCCTGCTCTCCCTCTCCCCCACTTTCAGGTCATTTCCAACCAAATGTTTTCCAGGGCTTCAGGGAAAACACTAAATTTCAAGCCTTCCCCTGAAACCCCCTGAAGCCCGAACTACAGTGGCCCTTACCAATAGGTACCTAAAGCAGGACTTCAGAAGATCGGAGGGCCCCCAGTCCAGAAGAGGTGCAACCTCCCCCTCTAGCCCTAAAGGTGAGTAAACTCACTAGGCACCTGCTGAACATTTTCTAGGTGCCTCCCAGATCACGATTCAGGAGCTAGGCAGAATATGTCATTCTCCTACCATACTGACAGATCAGGTAACACCTCAAGATGAAATTGTGGCCACTTCCTTCAACAGTGCTGATGCCCTCTTAGGCATTAGAGCATGTACCTAAGAAGCACACACCAACTTAGCTAGTACAGCATGTGCCCAGGAAGCAGGAGATCCAAGTTCTTTGCCCTACACAGTTTGAGAGGGCACAAATCCACAACACTCAGACCTGAAGGGCAGGCTGGGAGGGGGGCACTCTTCAACCCTCCTGCTGAAGCTATTCCACTATGCAATACAAGGCAAGATTCATCAGGCCCTGAGGGAGAAGAATGACCAAACTTTTTTTGGTGGCTAAGACAACAAGTGCTTCAAAAAGCAATGGAGCGTATTCATGGAGAAAAGATCCAGCAGTAAGCATTAAACACCCTCCCTCTTGGCACCCACATTTTGCTTCTACGAGCCAGGACACTTGGCTGGATGGACCTATGGCCTGACCCAGCAGCTGGAAGCTCCTATGCTTTTATGCATTCATTTGCAAGTAAGGAACTTCCAGTCCTTGTCCATTAATCAAGTAGTGGATTTTCCCATCCTCACCAGAACACCAATTTAATTTATTTAAAAATAAATAGCTAGATATTTTCAATATAAATGTTCCAGGAAGCATACAAAACTGTACACTAAAACAAGGCACAAGTGGAAGATTACTGGGAACCTTATGACCCATTACATGACTAGGACAATGGCAAATCTTCATAAAAATAGTGAAGACTATGGTCAAACTCTCCTAATAGATGCAGCAAAGCCCAAGGTTTGCAATGACTTGTTTCCAAAGAGCCCTCCTGTTCTCCTGTACCTGTGTTTCCGTATGAGGTATTTGCAGTGTCTCAGCAGGTATTCCTTTGAAGGCCGACAGAGCTTCAGAGACCAGAAGTCATCTAACCTCATCTTTGGAGAGCAGGACTTGCCAGGGTTCCCGCCAAACAAATAATGAACCTACATAAACAAGAAGCAATTCAAAGAATTGATTTTGATCATGTTATACACTGACTGTACATTTAGTTACCCATTATCTCTTGAGACGTATTCAACTATACGCAAGTCTGTTCTTTGTATTACTAGTGTAATGATCAGCCAAACTGATATACAAGTTTTTCTTCAAGCTGCTTATGGTTTTAGCATAGCGATAATGCCTCTGAACTATCAGAGTATTGCATGTTCTTAAAGCTAACTTCCTGTTGGGGAAAAAAAAGCCACATAAATTAGCACGACAATTTCTCAAAATGTATGTAATACTGGCAAAACAGAACTAAGATATTCAAAGCAGTACTGTATTTTCCCACCAAATAAAAATCTTACTTATTAGATTCTTCAGGCCCTATTGGTCAGAAAGACCAACATGAGATGAACTAGATGGTGAAATGACCACTCACTCAGAACAGATGGCAATTTAATCCTGAAAACCCTAATGGTGCAGCAGAAAATCATCTCCTGAAGGCAGAACACCAGGGTGTGAGAGAGTCAAATTAAGGCACAAGTACTGTACACCTCCGCTTATGGCCTTGATCTTGGAAGTACATGGTAACCGCTTCAACCTTCTTGGAGGCACAAAATGTTGTATGCAAAAAAAGCTGCAATTAAACAATTCTTCGGCCAACAGCCCAGTGCCCCGATGCACAACTGCTTTATTCATCCTGACAAATTAACAACTTTAAAAAGCACTACTTAGACCTCCAACCCGTCTTGCTCCAGCAGAAAATATTCTACGGGCCCTCACCCCTGGAAAAGCATCATGGTGCTACTCTGGTAACGTGAACAACCCTCTATTTAAGTTTGCAGGAGCCAAGTTCTTCTCATGAAGAACAGATCCCCAGCAATCAAGCAAGTATAGAAGCTAAAGATGAAAAAGGTGGACTGGCTGGCTGGCTGGCTGGCCCCTGTTCAGCAGATGGCTCTTGGGGCAAAGGTGGCAAAAGCTACTTCTACAAATAGGAATGGGTCTACAGAGGTCTCTTAGGCCCTAGCTTCTCCCGATTTGACCCAGGTGTCTTGAGAAACCCACTCAAATGGCCTCTGAACAACAGACTTATATTTATTGCCTCATAATACAACAAAAGTCCTGGTGACAAGTATGAACACACCTCCATTCAAAGCTCATTTCTACCCAGACTAGAGGCAAGTATTGAAAAAAATATAGCCATTTTATTGAAAGCATTTCACGCTAACTTTAAAATGTTTCCTTCAAACCCAAGACTGGGGTCTCAAAGCAAATTCTAAATCCAAGGACAATGGACGTATAAAACATTACTTGTTTTCCTGTTTACTGCATTATTTTCAGAAAACACCCTTGCCCCTGCAAACTCTGAACAGCTGAATTCCCAATATTCCAGAGAGGGATCTTAAAATGCTGAAATTTAAATTTAAAAAAGTAACAAGCCATCCTTCTCCATAACTTGGACATATCCTTTCAAAAGGCACTATTTTAGGTTCTATATAGGAGACTCCTCATTTATATCAGGGAAGCCCAAAAAAGTCACTGAAAGACTTCTAAAAATACACAACTTTAGAAGCGGTCATAGAGAAGAGCTCTTCAGATGGAGTGAATTGATGTTAACAGCCACGGTCCAGCCCCCACAGTGGTCCCTTGGAGAATTCATGATCCCAGTGTAGTCTGCGACATTTCAGTGACTGCACCAGATACTGCTACTTTACCACTTGTCTACTCTGCAGGAGCATTTAGGGCACAAGCTTAAATGTAGCTTTTCCAGAGAGAATGTGAGTTCTTCCTACAGTAAAAAATTCAGATTTCCCATTTGAAGGTTTGGGCACCCAAATTAAGGTTCTCAAAGTTGTTTAGCTGAGGACCACAATGGCCACAGGATAGATACGTTACAAGAAAGGACTGAAACCACCCACATTTTTAATAAGCAATTGCTCTGAAAAGCTAGTACGCACTATCCTCTATAATCCAAGTAGATCGAGACACAATACTGCCTGCAGGGCCTTAGTGTCTTCAGGCTCTGCTTTTAAGAACGGCCATGAGCCAACCTCACGGCAATGCTGTCCGCTTCATTTCTGCCCATCAGCTCCACTTTTGCCACCTACCTTAGATCTATAATGCCTATTAAAGGCATTATGATAAATCAATTTAACATACAAGTTTATTCACTGTCTTTAGCAACACAATCCTTTCTAGATGAAGCCGCGCATATTGTACCACCTCATAACGTCAGTCTCTGTTTTATCTCAGAAACACAGGATCAGATTTTTTTCCTTTTTTAAGTAGACCTTCAGACCTAGCCGGAACCATTACAGGACTGAAATCTGGCACAGAAGTTAAACATCCATACCTTGTGCAGCTCATCGTATACCAGCTGATGGGCAAATCTTGGGCAGGGCTCCTCTTCCTGGAGGCTTTTACTTGGGTTATCTTTTGCTGCTTGATCATTCTTATAAACACAAGACCTGAAATACAGGGTAATAGTCAAATTATCTGCCACTGATAATCATTAACTATAGATAGAGCAAGCAGTGCCAATGTTGTATGGATGAGGGAGGTCATTTTTAAAAAACACAACTTATATTATGTGCTGGGAAGGGGATCAATCATTTCACTTCCCCATAAATTGCTTCTGTCCTTCACTGCTAGCACTGGTAGGAAAACCTTCTAACTGTTCAAGAGAAAGCTCTTGAAGATACTTAGGCCCCAATCTCAAACTGAATAGACTGAGCCTGTCAATCCACGCTCCTAGAAGGCACTTCCAGAACTTACGCCATATGTATGTTTGTTTCATAAACTTGGTTATCACCTTTGTTCAGTAGATAAATAGTTAATTAAAATATTTATCAAATGCAGGATAAAATTTTCCAAAGTACTTAAGTGCAGACAACAAATGCGTATCCTATAAAAACACAATGGAATAGCTTCCCTACTGACTGACAGCTACACCACGCTTTCATAGAGGACTTTAATGTACTCACCAACTGTTCCTCACAATATCATAAATCCAGAAAGAGTTCCTAACATTCTCTTCCCGTTTCTCCTTGTCCTTACTGAGCCCAGACAATACATGGATTTCATTCAGTTCTGGATCAATTGTAGCTCGCTGAGTAAAACCCGTCATTGGAACTAGCAGGAAAAAATAAAAACGTTGCGTTAAGAGTACAAAGGATGATGTAAAAGAAAGAAAAAAGTTAAGGTAGCATATGAACAAGGAACCTGAAAACAGTGCTTGCAAGGCACAGGGTCTTCTAAACTGCAAGGCTGGCATTTATTTGGCAGGAATTGCTTATTAACTAACAGCCACCGCTAGAAAGCTGTTATACGACTTGCCACCCATGACACAAACACAAGGAGGAAGTCGGTTCTCCTCCAGACACACACAGCAGACTGGAACCTAGGTCCCGACGTATCCGCAGCAGGCACTCGCAGCTGCTCTTCCCCTCCATTTGCCAGGCTAAAGGAAACAAACTTTTAGTCTCTCCTCCTAAAACACCATCTGGGGAATACAGAGCCTCTTTGTAGGTTGCCTGCCTTTGCCCCAGTTCAGCATGCATTTGTATTTCCCGATTATAGGTGACCAGAGGCCTTCCCTTGTGCCATGCACATAATTCCAGCCTGTATTTACTGGGAATATCTTGCCCGATGAGGTCCTAGAGCCACAATACTATTTGTCATAGAACTGGAAACTCAAAGTCAACCGGGGACCAAATCATGCATGCAAATCTCTTCTTGTTGCTGCCAAGTGATGGGCTCCAACTTAACAGAAATTCTTGTTATTAAGCCCCAATTTCATCATCTTGTACTCTACACTACTGAATTGCACTTTTTGCAATTAATCTAACCCACAAGATTATTACTCTAATCCTCAATACTGTAAAAAAACACCCCAAAACAACAAACACACAGATCCTCTTGCATTGATGCCTTCCAACCTTTGGCCTTGTTACACATCACACTTTGAGCTGCACAAATGTTGATCAGTTTCACTGCTGGCTTGAGGTTGGAGCAGTCACACCTTGAGGCTAAAAACCTTCTCTGACTGTCCCCGACATTCACAGCTGTAACTTGGCACTAGAGGGCAGGTGAGCAGGGGCCTGCCCAGGAGCTACCACTACAGGGCTGGTGAGCCACGACAGGCTTTTCTCCTTGCCCAAGGTGTGCGTGGAGGAGGTGGGGGAAAGGGAAGCGTGGGGTGGTGAAACAAAAGCATGAAGCCAGGAGGCAAACAGTTAATGGGATGGGGGCGGGTAATGAAATAGGAGGGAGTTAGAAAAAAAAATAAGGAGGTTGGGGACGGCAGTGAAATTAAGTCAACCACTGAAGGCTAAAATGAAAATAAATTTTAAAAAGGGTAAAAAGAAATAAAGAGGAAGTAAATTAAAGAAGGTCTCATGCTTTCCTAGATTAGGACTGGGGTTTGGGTCTGCCAGTTATGCTTCCTGGAGTGGTTTGGAGCTAGGAAAGAAGATGCTTTTAGGGGAGCTACTGCCACTGCCACTGCCCTGGGAAGGAAGCTCAGCTCATGGGGACCCAACCCAGCCCCCGATTTGTCATCTGTCCCTGCCCTCCTAGACCCCATCTCTGGACCCGTCCATGCCTTATAAACTAGCTAGGGCTGCACGTCCTTTGCAGGCTGTTTGCATGGGGATCCACCCCTAGAGGTGGGACGGTCACACCCCCAGGGGCAGGAAGGGAAGCTGGTTTGGTTCCAGAGCTCCCCCCTGCCCCCCAACAGGAAAATTTGGGGGGTGAAAAGTCTGTCCACACAGAACAGGAAGGTTGGGGAGGGGACACTGCATCTTGGGATGCTGGAGGACTGCAACTTGGGCCACTTATCTATGGGGAGTGGCCACACATTAATGGAACAAAAGCTGGTAACATGGATCAGAGATGAATGTGCCCTGGAGCGATGCAACTTTAAGCTGCCTAAAGTGCAGTTAAAACTAGTTTCAGGTGTTAATCTGTAACCACATCAGCCCCTTTTCAACACAGCCAACAGCCAGTTCTTTATCCACTTTACAGTTCCTCTACTAATCTCCATCTTAACTCCCCATGTGAATACTATTGCACATATTTTTTACAGAAGTCTAAGTAGATTAAATCTAATTGCACTTCTCTGGTCTTAATACCCCAGGGTGTCTGTACACATGCTCCATGGGGGCAAACAGACATTTTAGAGTGGCTGTTGAGAGCCGCTCCAATTAAAATGCCCACAGCGTCTTGTGTATTCAGTGTCCCGTGTTTCAAAATGGCAGCGGGGCGCGCTGTAACTAAAGCTTGTTCAACCAGCTTTAGTTAAAGAACCCCTGCTGCCATTTTGAAACACGGGGACACCAAATACATGAGATAGTGCAGCATGCAATGCTCCAGTGGACTTGCTCCAAAATGCCTTACTCAGAAAGCATCAGAGCAGGTATAAAAGTGCCCCCAGTTCTCTTAGAAAGAGATCTGGTTTAGTCTGGTACAGCCTACCTCAAAGCCCTACATGCTACTGAGATCATACTACTGGGTCTGTAGCAGCCTGGATCACATCCCTCACTCCCCTTCCTTCCCTAAATAAAAACAAATGTTAATTGATTTAAAACCCCCAATATTCATCTCCCATGTGTGTTCTTCCAAATATTCGGGAACAGGATTTAGATGGCCCTCCTCCACCCACTAAATTGAACTCAGGTCTGTTTTGACCCTGGATGTGATGGCCTCCTCCATACACTTGCTCCCCATTAACAGGCCTACCTTTCTACTCTTAATTAACATCTCCCCTACTGAAAACTGGGGGCACTCTACTAGCTTTGAGTCTAAACCTAGATCAATTTTAAGTCTGCTGCCATCTTATTGGATTTTAGCCCCACTTTGTTCCTACTTCTTTTCACCTCCTTGGCTTCTACCATTTTGTTTACTTTCTCTTGCAAGGACTAACTTAAGTAGAGCTGTTCATTGTTTTCCCCATAGTTTGACCTCTAAGGCACCGCAGTTGTTGTTGAAAACCAGCTTTTGCCCTTGCTTGCCCTCTCCCAGCAAGGAGAATGTTTATGCAGTTAGGTCGGGAACCTTTCCCCTATATGGTTTGCTCCCTCGCTTCAAATGTAAATTCTAGATAGTGTTTGGAGATTGTAGCCTTTTCCATATTAAAGTCCCCAGGCTCCATTTGACTTCAACTAACTCGTTTGACCACGGGCGACACAAAGTTCAGTGGTTCTGTCCCTAGCTTGCCACTAGTTAGTTCCATTCATTTCTAGATTTTTTTTTCCTCCATAGGTTTCAGAGACATTAGGGCTGGAAGGGACCTCGTAAGAATATCGGGTCCAGCCACTTGCCCAAGGGGCAGGAAGTCAGCTCAGGTCAAAGAATCCCACAAGATAAGCATCCACGTTTCTTAAAAGTGTCCAGTAGGTGCTTGCACCACCTCTGGGGGGAATTTGTTCCAGACCTTCGGAGCTCAGACAGTAAAGAAGTTTTTCCTTACGCCCAGCCTAAAACAGTCTTGCAGGAGTTTGTGACCACTGGACCTTGTTATCCCCTGGGGTGCTCTGGTGAACAGGCGTTCCCCCAGATCCTGATGCACACTCCTGATGTACTTATAGGCTGCCACCACGTCACCCCTGAGGCTGCGCTTCTCCAGGCTGAAGTCCCATGGCTCACAGCCTCTCTTCATAAAGCCTGTTCTCTTGCCCTCTGATCATGCGTGTGGCTCTCCTCTGGACTCTTTCAAATTTCTCCATGTCCCTCCTAAATTGTGAAGCCCAGAACTGGATGCAGTACTCCAGCTGTGGCCTCACCAAGGCTGAGAGTACAGTGGGAGGATGACATCCTGGGTCTTGCTCGAGATGCATCAGTAGATGCAAGCCAGAGTTTTGTTTGATTGCCCAATTTTTCCACAAGGACATCATGGGACAATAGATCAAAGGCTTTTAAAAGTCCAAATAGATGATATCAACCTCTTCCCTTCTGTCCAGGTGATATGTCACTTGGTCATGGAAGGAAACGAGATTGGTCAGGCAAGACCTACCTGCAACAAACCCTTTTTTGAGAAGGGTAATGTTATTTGGGTTATTAAGGGTAATGTTACCCTTTTTTGAGAAGGGTAATGTTATTTGTCCTTTAACTTAAAACTGAAAAGAGCCCCAAACCAGTCAAATCCAGAGTCCTTTATTACATCCAGCTCTTCTACAGCCTCCTCATTACTTACCCAAAACGAGGTCTAAAATAGCATCACCTTCTGTTCGCTTAGTTACTGTTTGGTGAAAAGATCTGTCAGCTGTCACATCCAAGACTATCTGGGCCCTACTATTATTAGTACATTTGTTTTCCAACCTGTATCCGGGAAGCTAAAAAGTCTCCCGCTATGACAACTCCTGGCAATATTTCTCCCTAGCACTACAGATCTGTATCCATATCTAAATCAGACCATGGCAGGGTTTGTAGCAGACCTGTAGATGTACTCTAATAATAACCTTTTCACAATTGTTCTTCAGAGTGATTTTATTCCAAACCAGTTTAAGTTATGCTGTTATTTCTTTATCGTACCACATCAGTGTAATACTACAACCCCAACACCTTTACTTTTATCTTTCCCAAATAGTACATATCTTTCAGTGTCTTTATTCCAGACATAACTGCTATTCTGCCATGTTACTAATACCCCTGTAATATCCAACGTCCTGATCTACAACAGTAGTTCCATTTCTTTCATTCTGCTAACCAGTCTTCTCGGCCTACAGAACAAAAATCTCTATCTGTCTGACCCATTTCTTCTAGCTAAAACAGGCACAGTTCTTTTATTAGCTGCATTGCCAATCTGGCTATTGCTCTCTTTGATACTCCCCACCCCTCCCCCTCAACCGTCACTTCCAGCTCCACATCTTCCCTAGGCCGACACAGTAATCCTCAGTCCTTTCCAAAAGGCACTTGGAGGGTTAACTGTCTGACCATTAAGGGCAAACTAGTCGATTTTTCACTGCCCCCATCAGGATCCTTTTCATCTCCAGATTTCATCCTGGATTCACTCAAAAGGCATTTGGGTGTTTATCTTGCTGGGATCATTTGACCCCAGCAGGCTTCCTGCTTATGGCAGGGGGGCAGGACTCGATCTCACGAGGTCCCTTCCAGCCCCTAGCATCTAATGT